TACAGCTATAAAGCATAATTTAGAAGCTATGCCTAGAAAGAGAATGCCCAGTAATAGATTTATAATCATTTGAGCTATGTGATTTAAAGAAAGAACTGTCTTCCTCTCCACCTTAAAAACCTGCATTTGAGACAAGTTTCAATAGTTATTTTTAAAAACAATTTTAAAAAAATACCCTCTGGCTTAATTTGTAGTGACTGACACACAGCTCAACATTGATAAAATGCTTCCTGCCCTTCCCCCAGCTCTCCAAAAGAAGTGGTTTACACAATTGCACACATTCTACAAGACCTCCTGACAGAGCTCAGGCATCATGAAGAACAGTCGCTCTCTTCTGTGACACTTGCTCCCAGAGTCTATGCATTTAGTGGTTCGGTGAGGGCTTCCGCTGGAGGGGCCTCGGGCTTTCTCAGCTGGGACTCCTGTCTCTTTTCATAGAGCATAGCACCAAAGTCAAAGAGGAACATAAAACTTGCTATAAAGCCAAAAACCTGAGAAGGAAAAAGGGGGGAAAGGTTATATGAGGAATTGGGGAATACAATCTCATCTCCTACCTGGCTCTGAAAGTACTTCACATGAGCAGGATAATTCATTATTATAATTCATTTTTATCTTACACCTACGATTCTCTAATGATAAAAAAATTTTGTTTGTGCTCGCTTTGGCAGCACATATACTAAAAAATTTTGTTTAAGCCATCCAAAAATGGCAAGAAGTTACAAAGAGAAACATCTAAAACAACAGCTATTATCCCACAAAATACAAATTGTCCTGTCTTATGTATGCATGTATATGTGTGGGGTATCAATCTAAGAAACTAAGGTAGTAGCTAAAAAAAAATCCTACACAATGATACAAAACAGAGGATTATAACTGTGGTTAGAGTGACTCACAGGACAAGGGAATATGGAAGTAGGCAACCTGGCCTTAGTGAAAATGGATAAAGTTACTAATATCAAAACAAAAGTTCCATTTTGAAGATACTATTAGGTTAAATTTCCAGTTAATTTTCACACTTTATTGACACAATGACATGACGCCACTGCCTACTTCCCCTTTCTTAAATCACTTCCTCACTGTACCCTTCAAACACTGACATGGCATTCTGAGAATTCTGTCAAGAGACAGAAGTCCACGCTGCAAATTTAGCCTCCCTACTAGCAAAACTCATGGAAATGAGGGCAAAGAAAGTGCTCAGTAAAAAAGAGAAAATTTGCACTAGCTGATGGCTACAGTATCTTCCAACTCCAACACCTCCATGATTTTTAACAATTGTTATAATCTACTGCAGTCTTCTGACCTTCCTCTCCCCAGCCCCTCCACCCTACAGAATATGGATTATGTCTCATTTCACCATACAGGAAACTTCACTCCAAACTCATTGATTCACCTGGATGCCTCCAATACACCCAACATAGCTTCATTTATCAACCCAGCCCCCAAACCCAGGTGTCTTTCTCTCCTCTGCAGTCTTTGTTTTGGCTCGATAGCATCTAGTCCCTTACTTGCATAGCAAACTTTTTGAATATTTCAAATGCAGACGACATATCACCTTGTCTGTCAAGGTGTCTAAACCCCTGAAAGAGCTCCCGTGCATAAAGACCCTCTACACTATACAATCTAAACAAGTGCCCTGCCAGCTCTTTTGCTCAATGGTTTCTTTAATAGATTCATTCATCTACATTTCTAAAATTATTCATAATTTAGTTGCAAAAGGTAATTTCCTGCTTATTATAAATATTAACTTTTCATATTATTAAATATTATAACAATCTAATACATCATCTAAATACAATACATAACTAATGGCTGGGAATTTTATGACATGGTTTTCCCCCCTTAGAACTCAACTTTTTCTCCACTTCACATTCCCCACAGAATCCCCCCCACCCTGGTACCAGGGATCGAACTCAGGACCTTGCACTTGTGAAGCAGGCCCACTGGCACTGAACTAAATCCCCGGCCCCTCTCCCCACAGAATTTTCTAGTAATATATTTTTACTCTTGTTTTATTGATCTCCTATCAAACTCCTCTGCAATAAAAACATGTACACATTTATAAATGGAAAGTAACTAGAAGGTTAAACTATTAAAACTTTGATTTTTCAGTTCACCTGGTTGATGTGTCCATGGATAAATATTACTCATTGCTAGGATGAGTCAAGGTTCAGCAGTAATTTTGTGTCTGCTGTTTTTACACATATAAAATGGTAAGAAACTGTGGGTACATGAATAAGCAGATATGGCTATGAAATCACTTGAACTCCTTTTGCATTGTTGCATCATAAAAAGTAGTTTTAATGATCTAATACCTGACAACTCTACTAAATTCGGCTTCACTTGGTGAAAATCAGCCTTAGCTGGAAACCAGCTGACCAGCAAGAGTATCTGTTTTCGCATTGTTAGTTATCTGTGTTTACTGTACTAATACCTGGCTAGGTCCATGATCCTTGATTTGCAATTCTGAAATCCAAAAAGCTAAAAAAAATTAAAAAGTTTTCATGATTCACTTGACTTAAAATCAACAAGACTATCTGCAGCCTATACTTCTCACTTTTACTGTAAATATTCAAATATTAATGCTGAATTACACAGGGCATTGCCCTTGGCTCTCTGAAGGTGTTATGTAATGTAATATATGCATGGTACCACCTTTCTAAAATTCTGAACTCTTAAAAATAATCTGGCCACAAGGATTTCAGATAAAAACTGGATCTTTTATTTTCAATTGTCCCTTTGTTGTACTCAAAAAGGCTTTTGTGTTTTACAACTTAGAGTAATGCACCATAGTAAGATTTAGGATAGGTGAGTACATTCTTTTTTTCCTCTTTTGGGGGGTGGGGGTGGAGGTTGACTGTAAAAAGGAAGGTAGGAAAGAACTGGCTAGATTCTTTCACTAGAGATGAATTCTCAAACATATGAGTATTAAGATTACACAGAGATTAAAAACCTGGAAATTAATTTCCACAAAAACTATTCCTGCTTAGTACTCCTTAAAAAGTTTTCATACCCGGGGATTTAGCTCAGTGGTTTCGCCGCCTGCTGCGCAAGCACAAGGACCCGAGGTCGATCCCCGGTACCAGAAAAAAAAAAGTCTTCATATTTTATGGACATACATAGCCCACTTACGACTGCTATCTAGACAAACATTTATTGGTTCACTTAACATACTTCATTATAATTTGTTTCCTTCTCTATTTCTTTTATTAGGTTGAACCTTTGAGTCATTTTTCCTGTGTATTCTGTACACCTAGAACAGCACATGGCATGTAGCTGTGGTGGACTGAAAAGGAGAGAAATACAGATGATAAAGTCAATTTTATGATTTCCATTAGCAGTATCATATTCCTATGTAGAGTAAATGGATTTTTGGTAACAAGACTGTCACATTCTGGACAGGTTCTAGGTTTTTAAGGCTATCACTTTCTTTTTTTTTTTAATTTTTAGGTCTTCTATTCAAAATTACATTAAAAATAAAAGACAAGGACTGGAGAAGCTATTGAAGATGATGATGATGATGATGATGAAGGTGAAGAAGCAGATGAGGAAGGGGAAGAAGAAGGAAATGAGAACAATGATCCAGACTACGAGGCCAGGGATTTAGCTCAGTGGTTCCGCTGCCTGCCTTGCAAGCGGAAGGACCCAAGTTCGATCCCCGGTACCAAAAAAAAAACCAAAAAACAAAAAAAACCAGACTATGACCCAAAGGAGCAAAACCCAGTAGAGTACAAGCAGCAGTGAAGCAGGATGTATGTGGCCTTGAAGATAACCCGCACTATAATAGCCTAAACACAACTTATTATTTATTTTCAGCCTTATGTTTTTGTATTTTCTTGGTAGATTCAGTAATTTTTTTAAAGGAATTGATATTTTAAAGACCAATTTGTTTAACTAGCATTTTAACTATAGTTTCACTGTCAGATACACTGAATGCACAGATTCTCTGAAGCATGTTCATTATTGCTGCAATTTGGTTCTTTGCATCATATAATTATCAGAGTATAACTATGAAAATTAATTTTTTCCTAAAGAACCAAAATAGTTTTCCTGCTAGTAATAGAGTGGGTTTAAGTTGGTTGCATAGTTGTGCTTTTCTTTTTTTTTTTTTTTGTTACAAAAATGCACTGACTTACACTAAGACAATTCATCATTTAAAAGAAAAAAAAATAAACTTGTGGTTAAGAATTTCCAGTAAGACCCAATCAGATGATTGTTAGCTTATTAATGGATTTTTATATTTCAGGTGACAGTTAATTGTATAAGGAAGCCTAACTTACATGGTTATGTTTACTACAGGGAAGTGAATAAAACCTAGAATTTTCAGAAGTTAAAAAAAAAAAAAAAGACAAGGGACGAGGATTTAGCTCAGTGTTTCCGCCGCCTGCCTTGCAAGGTCCCAAGTTCAATCCCCAGTACCAAAAAATAAATAAATAAAATAAAAGACAAACTATTTTCACATATTGTATACTTGTCAAGTACTTTCTAAATTCTGTATTTTTAAGGAAACAAACAAACAAACAAAAAAAGCAATGTTAAAAATACAAAGTACTTACAATTGCAGTAATTTCAACAGAGGTTCTGTCATGGGTGGAGACAAAAATGATAGATGCCAACAAAAACACACATCCTGTTCCCAGCATAATGTAAAAATCCTATGCATACATATAAAACATGTGAAAAATACAATATGGTTAGATTTATAGAAACAAAGTTTTTAATTTTAAAAAACTTCAATGACTTACTTTTGTGACACAACCCAAACTTACCTACCACACTTCTAACTTTTCAATAAGCTTGGCATTCAAACACTATCCACACTTTTAGCTGGGCGAATTGAAAGAGTACAAGAGGCTTCTAATAAAAAGCCTCTCAAAAGACCATGAGTGTGTTTTTCCTCTTTTTCTCTAGGACATATTAAAATTATCAAAGACAAAAAATTTATTAAAATTCCATCTCATTTCCAGTAAAAAAACAATTTTTTCTTTCCTTTCAAAATATTCCATGCTCTTGAAGACAGACTTTTAGAGACAAGGAACTGGCTCAGAGGAGGAGGAAAGGAAAAGGGGGTAACAAGGATGAAAATAATCACAATGCTGTGCGTTTATTAATATACCAAACAAATCTCATTCTGTGTTACTAATATGCACCAATAAAATGCCCCTGCAAATTCAAAATTTAAAAAGCAAACTATGCTAGAATGGTATCTCTGAATGCTTCAGTGCCTTTAAGAGAGAATCAAAAAAACCATCCATCATTAACTAAATAAAAGTATGCCAATGGTGTGTTTTCAAACACCTGAGCTTCCTGGAACTGCCCTCAACAATTCCAAGCAGGTATTCCAAATGAGCCCGAAGGATGAGCTCATCATCCACTACTGAAAAGCTTCCACACCACTTCACAAGGCAGCTTGGAAGCTGGAGGTGCTCCATGGGCTTCCAAGTGTCCTCTCAGCACTGCCTCCCAGGCTTTCCATGCCAATGGAAAATGGGGCTTGACAAGCACACTTGATGCAGAGGAAAACTGGGAAAGTGACAGCCACTCTGAAGGCTTTTACTCCTGATGTTTTTTTAATCTTCTGAACTGCAACTTCTACTAAACCTAATATTAATAAAACTATCAAAACAGAATTCCTATAATGTCAACAATTCACTTAACATTTATAAAAAATGTAAGGTGTTCTTTGTTCTAAAAGCAGTATTACTTCAAATCTGTCATATACATAAAGTTCCATTTCCTAATATTTAGAGTGTATTTTGAGATAGAATAACACATAGCTCCATAAGTTTGTAACTGCTGAGTCCATATCCCAGCTATGCTACTTCCTAACTATGAGACTTTGAACTATTTAACATCTCTGTGCCTCCATTTCTTTATCTTCAAAATAAAATAAGAGTATCTTCTTCATAAAATGATTCCATGGACTAGAGTTAATCCACAGACGGTACTGGGTCAGTGCCAGGCACATAGTATGTTGGCTACTACTAGATCTTAACACAATCTGACCTATAATGGCATATAAATGATTCTTTCTTCAGAAAGATTGTTCCTGCCTAGTCATTTTCAAACCACGCAAACAAGAAATCCTTATATTAGGTGAAAAAGCCTTGCACAAGCGGGGTGCTCTACCACTTAGCTATATCCCCAGTCTCCTTTTTATTTTGAGACAGGATTTACTAATTTCCTCAACTGTTCTGGAACTTGTGACCCTGTTGCCTCCCAAGTGACTAAGATTATAGGCATACATCTTTTAAATTTTTTTAACTTAAAATAAATTTTTGAAAAGGTAATAGATCTCCATAGCATAAAATTCCAGTGGTACAAAAGAGTACACAGAATAAAGAGCATTGCCAAGAAAAAAACAGTAATTTTGTTATATAATCAATATATGACCCCATGCTTATTTCTTGTTAATTCAAAATAATAGAATCTTACCGCTTTCTTTTTATACTATCTCTTGGTTTTTTTGTTTTGTTTCATTTTGTTTTTAGACAATATCTCACTATGTAGTTTAGGCTGGTCTTGAACTCACTATGTAGCCCAGGCTAGTTTGAAACTCATACTGATCCTCCTGCCTCAGCCTCCCAGAATGCTGGGACCAAAGGCATGTACCACCATGCCCAGCTCTTGTTCTTAATAGTCAAATATCTACTTTTCTTTTTCTTTTTTTGTACCAGGGATTGAACTCAGGACCTTGCGCTTGAGATGCAGGCGGCAGAACCACTGAGCTAAATCCTCAGCCCATAACTTTAATTTTTATCCTTACCCTCTGAGACATGAATTCTTTCATATGTTAACACTCACATGCACTATTTTTTACAAATTACTACTGACAACTAAAACACTACTGAAGAGGTAAATTGCTGAAGTACATACTTGAATTATTTTATCTGTTATCCCATAAATCCAAACTATACTCAAACAAAAATTCAGGGTGAGGATATTGTCTTTAGAAAGTTAAACTCCTCCAATGTTGTGAAAATAAGACTTCCCCAATATAATTTTATTGCAAGGGAAATTTCTGAAGAATGAATCAACAAATACCTTAATTCATTTGTAGAAAACTTGACTAATAATAAAATGAAACCAAAATATAGATGGACATAATTACATTTTGTTAAGAGCCCCAGAAATAGGTTAGTTCATTACTCTATCTCCTATGCTTAGCATAACATCTGGTATGCAAGCGTGCACAACTCATAACTATGGACCCAATGAGTGACACTCTGAAATGTGAGAAATAAAAAGTGACAAAATCAAGTCAAGGGCAATGGTGCATCCTTGTAATCCCAGAACTGAGGGAGGCTGAGGCAGGAGGACTGAGAGTTCCAATCCTGCCTGGGCAACTTAGTGAAGCCCTGTCTTGAAATTTTAAAAAATTAAAAAAAAAAAAAATAGTGGGAGGATGTAGCTCAGTGCAAAGGCCCTCAGTAACCCCTAGTACCACAGAAAAGAAAGAAAGACACTGACAAAATCCTAGTCTTTTTCTTTAAAGTCCAATGTGATGTAATTAAGCCACCAATAATTATAAAACATTGGCAGTGTCTGTCACGGTCACTTTCCCTCTCTATCATCCCCTCAGAAGGCAAAACTGGGTTGCTTAGATGCGGTGTTGGAATAACAGATAGTATTTTTTCATGGTTCTGAGTTTTGAAAGCATTACTACTTTGAACAATAAAACCATACAAAATTACACAACAGCTATGCTCTTAATAAAAGAGTTTACATTTTTTTCATGCTTACCGATGATTTTACTTTTATGGCATCAACTCTGTCGTACACGGAAGTACAATACACAATTAGGAAAAGGAGACTCAGAAGAAAGGCACTGCAGCTT